CATTAAAAGTTGAAATTCTTTGAGTTTGAGTTGTGAGACATACAAATATGATAAGTAAAGAGACAAGGGAGCATTACCTTTCATAGTGCAACTTACAATTAAAAAAAAAAAACCACTGTAGTAAGTATACATCCTAACATTATAAATGTAACAGTATTTTAAAATAATTAAAAATAAAAAATAAAAAACAGAAGGCAGCAATTAGCATGGCTGCATGGTTGTCACACTTGAATTGGGCCGGGCTGAACCGATAAAGGACCTCAGATTCCCCAATTTTGCAAGTCCGCTGCAGCTGCACCCTGCAACCTGCACCTGCAATCTTAAACCCTAGTTCATCGTCTTTCTTCTTCCAGCTTCCCTCGTTCTTCTGTCTCTAATTCTTAACGACCTTTTGAAAAAGTTTTGGACTTTCAGAAAACCCACTTCACAGCTCCAATACCTTTCAGCTATGGCATTTATATCGATACCTAAGCCCTACCAATTGCAACCAAGGGTTTATCCCACCATCCGCCGAATCTCAATCTCATATTCACTCAATCCTCTGCATTTCTTTACCACAACCCAAGATTCAGTCCCTCCTAACCTAGTACCGGAAACCCCACCGGCTGAAGCTGAGAATCTGAGTAATGCGCTGGCTCAAGAAGACAAGGAGAAGCTTAACCAGAGAGTCCGGCCAGGTAAGCATCGAAACCCAGAAAAAGTAGAGGATATTATATGTAGAATGATGGCAAGTCGGGCGTGGACAACACGGTTGCAGAACTCCATCCGGGCTTTAGTGCCCGAATTTGATCACTCACTGGTCTACAATGTGCTGCACGGTGCCAAGACCTCGGACCATGCCCTCCAATTCTTCCGGTGGGTGGAGCGAGCTGGGTTGATCCACCATGACCGGGAGGCACACATGAAGATTATTGAGATTCTGGGTCGAGCTTCGAAGCTCAATCATGCCAGGTGCATACTTCTTGATATGCCCAAGAAGGGGGTTGAATGGGATGAGGATATGTTTGTTGTCTTGATTGATAGCTATGGGCAAGCTGGTATTGTTCAGGAGGCTGTGAAAATTTTCCGAAAAATGGAGGAGTTGGGTGTGGAGAGGACTGTCAAGTCTTATGATGCTTTTTTTAAGGTGATTATGAGGCGTGGTCGTTATCTGATGGCCAAAAGGTACTTCAATAAGATGTTGAGTGAAGGAATAGAACCTACTCGTCATACCTATAATCTTTTGCTTTGGGGTTTCTTTCTGTCATTGAGGCTTGAGACTGCTAATAGGTTTTATGAGGATATGAAGAGTAGGGGGATTTCACCTGATGTGGTTACTTATAATACATTGATTAATGGGTATTATAGGTTTAAGAAAATGGAGGAGGCAGAAAAATTGTTTGTGGAGATGAAGGCAAAGAATATAGAGCCTACAGTGATAAGTTATACTACCATGATAAAGGGGTATGTGGATCTGGAGC